TTGTAACTCTACTGTCTGTATCCCGGTAAAAACGCTCAGTAGCAAGAAACCTCTCGAGCTGTGTCTCAAGGTCGGCTTACTACTGGGTAATCTGGTGGGGCTTCGCGATCCTAATGTGCAGTACTGTCACCTGACTAAAAGCTTCGGAAAGTTCAAGTGACACAGTAATCAAAGGGTGTATACTAATTATTTATTAATAAAAGCTATAGCAGGTGTGGATTGGATGTCTAATAGTAGTTCTATTGAATTTTATGGGTGTACAGTGGGTTTTTACTATGGGGGTTTGACGTACCGGTACTGAACTGCTGCCGCTGATTCTGCTCCGCCGAAGACTACTCTGCCGATGTGCGAGCGCTCGCCGATGATCCTACGTACGACGAGCTTGACGTCGGGCGAATCAAGCCTGACAGGGTGGTGATGTTGGAACAACAGATCGACTTAACTTGATGGCGATCTGCGGTCTCCTGGCGTCTACCCTCGTTGACGAGAATCACCAGAGCCCAGGCAAGGCCGGAGTGACTCTGCTGAGAGGGGTCCTCTTTTGCGTTTAGAGCCGCCTTGGCCCGAGGAATGCGGCGATTTTGACCTTGCAATGCCAAATCGAAATGATGTCCTTTACTGTTAGGATTAATAGCCACTAAGGATCAATAATCCGACTCGTGTGCTTCCTGACCGACTTAGTCGATTGGTTCACAAAATGGCGCTGTACCGAATGGTACCACAAAAGGGTCCTGTGAGGGCAACGGGGTTTATTTTTATTAATTATCGTACTAGTCTATGGTCATTCGATTAATGTTAGCTATCCGTAATTAATTAGCCAAGCCGTATTACCTGATTGAACAGATAGGTATTCCCGCGATTCACCACTCACTTTTATTACTTTAAGGACACTTGGTTTTAACGATCCGAAGCACACGAACGCCAGATACTGATTGAGGAATGGCGGTTTTCCTTCGCGCTTTTCCCATCCCATTGCTCTTCTCGTGAGACGTTATTTTCCACCCTTTTTGAATTCATGGTTTCGCCCGAATGTTGTTGTACCCACTGGTAGAATATTCATACCCACTGTATGTACTGTTGTACGGTTTTATACAATTTTCAAATTTAAAAACAATTAATCCTACTAACAAATTAACATTTTTTTACAACGACTACTAACCCTACTAATCCAACACCAAATAACTTTAAGAGACGTGACGGTACATTTAACAACCATGCACAAATTAAAAATCTAACATGTTTTGTAACAAACGGTTACACAGTTATCGCAAGAATCTCTAAGACTCTGTTGATTTCAGGAGTTTAAAAAGTTATTGGAGAAAATCCTGACGGAATCTCACACGGGTCTTCTTCGGCAAAGCTAGAGTTTTGCGAAATTTGGCAATGGTTCACATTTGTGCTCAAATTCGGCCATATTGTATCATGAAAAAAAATGTTCAAAATGACGTCTTTGAAATTTTTCAAAAATGTGTTGCACGGTAACGGCATTTATGATCGAAATGACGTCTGAGACAAAGTTGTAGAGAAACATAATGTCTTTCAGTCTTCAGTTTCAGTTTTCAAAAGGTAACAGCTAGAGAAATCCCGAAGAAAAGTATGGGTTTTTTCAAGAACATCTGGGGAATTTTACCGACATTCTCAAGGTGAGGAAAGTCTAGCTAGTAGGTCCTCAGAGAAGCTGATTTTATCTTCAAATGAAGCCAATTGCAGGAGGCTCTTTCAAAGGACTTTTCCAACTTCTACAGGTCTACCTGTTATGCTTAAGCTGCGAAAGTTTTGACAGTTTCTATGAGAATCTCCTGATGATCTGTTGATTGAAATCTGCTAATTTCAGCAGTGAGAAAGGTTATTGGAGAAAATACACGACTCTTCGTGGGTAAAGCTAGAATGTTACTTCTAACAGGAATTCTAAGCCATGTTTTAGGTCTCAGTAGTGGATTGTTGAGTTATAACTAGAAAACTTTGTGTTGAAGACTAAGTTTGATAGGCTAGCGACTGGGGAACTAAGAAGTCTCCAGTTGATTTTCACAGAAAGTTCAGGTTCTCGTTGACATAGAGAGATCTCATGAGAAAGGTTAGGAAACATTTTTTTTTTAATATTCTACGGCATTCTAAAGGTGAGGAAAGTCTCTCTATGTCCTACACGGTCGTTGAAACTAATAGCACGTTCAGACTATAGAGTAATAACATGTTATAGCGCTATCTTGATGGTGGTTTCTGTGTTGCACCGTTATATCATGTTATAACATGTTATAACTGCTCAGTCTGGACGGCGTTTAACTCGAAATTAAGTAGAGTTTCACTTTTTTTTTGTGAAAAGTGCGATTTCTCAGAACTGAGTTACTCCTTTTTGAGTAATGATCACTCAATTTTGATTACTGTTTACTGTGAGTACTTTTTACGAGAAGAAGCGAATTTTGAGTTTGCTTAAACGGTTGTGCAGTTTACTCATAAATCGCAAATAGTTCAGGAACTCAGCGGTGAGTAAATTTGCTCATGTTTTTGCAGGATTTCCAGGAAAAAAAAATTCCCGAATATGATAAAACTAAATATTGGATTCTCTCAGTCTTCATAGACTAAGTAAAACTTTGTCAATTTTCCTTATCTTCCGGGAGATTTTTGTGGTTTCCCAACGGAAAACATGAGGCAAATTTACTCATCGCTGAGTTCCTGCACTCTTTACAATTATGAGCAAACTGAACTCAAATTTAAGTTGATCTCATTGGCCGTGCGGGATTGTCCTGAGAATCCAAGAAATCAAGGAAAAGCTCGCTCCCTAATTCTGGCGGAATATTTTCCCCGTTTGAATTCGTTAATGACATTTCAAACGGCTGCCATGCCACGTGTGTTTGTTCACAATCTAACTCCCACTGTCTGGCTGTGGCATCATGTATGAAATCATTTCTTATGAACGCAAGAAGTTTGGACCCGGGAGTTAGACCGTAGCTCAAATAGCCTTTAGATAAAAGATTGACGCGTATTTAGTAATTTAAATGATCGTCTCAGGATACGTCCTGTATAGCAGACCTGTCATAATCTTGTATTTTTTAAATGGCTGCATCTTTGTTCGATGAACATGTTTCATGCTGCATTTTATTTATTTCTAATTCCTTCTGGGCTAAAACTCATAATGATGAACAAAATTGCACTAGAGTTATATCATTGCTGAGATCCAGAGACCACGTCCGGGCCGCGGGCCGCACGCTGGGCAGTGCTGCTATAGAGGAAAGAGGAACTCAAATGCAAATAAACTTAGCTGAACGTTGCTGCGCTTTAGTCGGAACGGACGGCACCTCATGCAATGGAAAGGGAAGGATTTGATAATTTTCACCTAATGCACTTTTAAACACAACTTCTGTACATTCAATTAACACTTTTTAACACTGAAATTGTAAATTTTCCACATTTTCACAAGAACGAAAACGACGCAGCAAACCAAAACACGTCATTTTCGCAGCGCGGCTTACTTCGATCTTCGGACGTAGAAAAAAAAATCGTTTCAAAACATTAACATTCAAAAATGCATTCCTTATTCCCGTGGATGATGGCAGCCAGCTGGGTATTTCCCAACAAACATGTTCAGTTATGTAAGCTTACTTTTTGCGTGCTGTAAAGCAGCTGCATAAATGCTATGAATTCAACTACAGGCAAAAGCTGTCAAAATAGCATAAGTAGCGCCTGTTCAGCATTTATACAACAATTATTCAGCTTGTCAATCAAATTGAATAGCACCAGCTAATAAACGTTTACACTACTACTGTACACATTTTTTCAACATACAACTTATTGCTACAATTCAAAGCTGATAAAAAGTGTATATTACTTATCTCTTTGCATCTACACAATCAATAACTCATACTGAATAAAATAAACATCAAAAACGCATTTCCGTACAGCCCCGGTAGTTTCAATAGCTACACACTTAGTCTAGCTCAGTAAAAATCTCCTACAGCCAATTACCTCGGCATTTACTTTTGCTGATTTCTCTGCAAAATATCTGTTTGTTAGCTGATATCTCAGCAAAATGTTATTTGTTAGCTGAGCCTCAGCAATTGTTTTACTGAATCTCAGCAAAGTAAATTGCAGAACTACTCGGCTGTTGGAATCTCGGCGAAAAAAAATTAAGTGTGTAACATTGCTATTAATCGTTACTTGTAGAGAATTTGTTAACCTGATACCCCTGCAGAGATGCCCAATGGCGTTACGTAGGGGTACCAGTTAAACAAACTATCTACGATAACCGTTTAATAACGATTTTAGCTATTCAAACTAACGGAGTTCTACACACTTAATTTTTTTCTCCGAGATTCCAACAGCCGAGTAATTCTGCAATTTATTTTGCTGAGATTCAGTCAAACAATTGCTGAGTCTCAGCTAACAAATAACATTTTGCTGAGATATCAGCTAACAAACAGATATTTTGCAGAGATATCAGCAAAAGTGAATGCCGAAGTAATCGGCTGTTGGAGATTTTACCGAGCTAGATTAAGTCTGTTTTGATAACTAAATTTGTTATCAACTTGGCTGAATTAACAGCCAACATAACAAAAATGATAACAAAAATTTCTTCTAGAAATATCATGTTGATAACTTGTTTAGATATAATTGAAAGCAAGTTGATAACAAATTCTGCAATGTATTTTGTCTGATTGCATAACAGATCTTATTATCAACTTGATATTGTAATAAAGCATCTGATAACAGATTCAGTTATCAACTAGTTTCTTTTTCTCCGCACTTATGATAATATTTTTTGTGATTTTTCAAAGAAAAAATAAACTTGATAATAAAAGAAATTTTATTTTCGATAAAGTTAATCCATGCTTATAATCAGAACTGAATCAATATTGCCAAGCGGATACTTGAGTAACACTAAACTTAACAAGAGCAATGGACAAAAATAAATGGTCATTAAATCCACAACAGGTTAAAATCAAAAAGTTAACAGGTATTGTAGCAATAAAAAACAAAAAAAAAAGTGATTGTCTTAACAAAAATAATCACGATCGCGAAGCATTCGCGATTACTCTCGTCATCAAACTTGTGCCTGCTTTGGAACGGGCCATTGCAGTTTTTACGTCATCTCGCAAAAAGATTCGACGTTCGTGGAGACAACCTGTAAGACAGACGACATTCAATGAATTAAGCAAATATGACCAATTTTCTTATAAACTTACGGATGCAATAGTCCACTTTTTCCTTCTCCAACGCAAGCTTGGTAACACTGGTTCCATCAGCACTCTCCCCTGAAATACTTGCTCCGGCCGATGTGCCCTCTCCAGTTTTGTCTTCCTGTCGTACAGATTTCGGACGACCAGATGGATTGTTTGACTGACGTCCCGTCACTGATCTACCGAGCAATCCCTCAGGCCAAAGTCTCATCATGATAAACTTGATGAACAAATAATCACTATCTGCCTCAAGAGAAAACTGGCGCAACGTGTTGGCATCGATGTATTCTCCGCAGTCTTTGAATGGTGTTTCTGGCTCTGGTAGTAGTTTCGATGTTAGAGCTTCTTGTAGTTTGCCGTTTTGTGTCACCAATCTAGCATTCTCCTCAGCAAGCCGTTTGGTTTTTAAAATTTCCTCCGACAAATCCATCTGGAGGGACTCCACCATCTTTTTATATTTCCTGGCCTCCTCCGCCGTTCCACATGAGCAGTCTTGAACATAAAAAAATGATTGATTGATTGCCTGATATGATGAAAAAAATAAAGCCTACCTGTTACTTGGTTTGGTGTGGTGTTCACCTGGTTTATCTCCTGGTCATTTGCCTGATTCACCTCCTGCTCATCTGACGATTCGTTGTCCCAATCTTGCATTAATTGTTCAACTGATGCTTTTCGGCGATATGTGCGGATTATCGGTGGCAGCTTACGCACATCTGCGTCTTCCTTATCGGAACCGATATATTCAGTGACTTCCTTATCGGAACCGGCACATTCAGTGACTGATTCAGGTTTGTTGACGAATTCGAAAACAGGATTCACCTGTAAGTCGCTGCCAGATGTTTGCAGTTGAAGATCGATCTCAACTTGAGCTTTCTTTTTGGCTGGTGGCTCAACTTCCTAGAAAAATGTAGAGGTTACGTTCAGTACCAAAATGTACAAGGTTTCTTACCTTCAATTCAGGAATTATATCCACCACGAATGCGATATTCTTGTTCGTCGCACATTTTTGAACACGCTTTTTTGCAACCGTTGTTCTTTTCCGACCCATTTCTACTGTTTTTTCACAAAATACTCACGAATTTCAGAACACACGCGACTTTTGGCCGATGCAGATGGACGATGGCCGATGCCAAGAGAGTATGACAATTAAAGAGAATATGATAGTTTATCTATTCTTAGGTAGGCCCATATTGCATATTCAGTACAACTCACTTATTCCACATTATTGATAACATGAATAATAATTTTGCGTTTTTTAAATTATTGATCCCACAGTGAAGTTTATTTTATTTTTGAGAACATTGAATTTCTAAGAAGAAAAAGAAGTTTTATCTCAGCCCAGATCGCAGCTTTGAATGACTTTTGGTGTGAGACGTTAGAATGATAACCAGGGTCGCCCGCTCTTTTGATAACTGTTCCGCAAAATAGAAAGAAAAAAAAGTCAACGAGTAAGTCAAGTCAAGATCAACGAACAATAAAAAAAAAAATAAAAGTAATATTTCATGTTATCAGAATTGTGGAATAGGTTAGTTATACTGTATTAATGAAATGGACCTACCTAAATATAGAAAACTATCATTTTTTCTTTTATTATCATTGTCAGCTGTCCCTACTAAAAAGATCTGTCAAATGTTTGTTGAGGATCGTGTCAATTGATACCGACGACGACATCAAACCAGTCCGACAGTCTTGATCGGGATTTAAACCGATTATAATAGCGATTGGAGGTTACTATTATCACATTAATTGAGGCTTATGTCGTACTCGCATACTACAGCTTGTGTATTTATTAATTAAATAAGCTTAACAAAAATTTGCAATACTCATGGACTCGCGGCGAAATAAAAGACATTACTACATAGCAAACGAATTCTACAATACGAAATATGTTCATAAGGTAAGAATATCTATCAAATAGTGTAATTATTGAATCATAGTGACATACGATATTTTCAGAAGAAAAAACAAACCGCTGTGATAAATTCACAACTGCAAACCGATTGTGTTGAGAACCATGTTTCACAAACAGTGCAATCTACTGCGAAAGACCCGGATGAATGTGAGAGTTCAATGATTATCAATACTGCCAATTTGCAAGAACCTTCTACATCGCAAACTAACGATATTCAGCATCCAAGTGAACCTACAAAGATTCAATTATGAATTTAATTGTTCTATTGATTCTACGGATTCTACTGACACTTGCTCAGAATCATCCGCTGAGCATATGCAAACCGAAGAAGAGAACGAAGATGCTGAAATGGAAGATTTTTCTTATCAGGACCGTGACGATTGCCTTGGATTCAACAAGGTATATTCTAAAAAAGATAAGTTTACGGATTTCATGGTATTTAATGGCTACAATAACTTTTTCAGGTATTTTCCGAGAAAAAACTGAAATTTGATTCTGATGTGACAATAGCAGAAGCTCGTTTAAGTGATTTTGAACTTTTTCATAAAACATCAGCTTACACAAGGAGCGTTAGTTGATTTGCTCCGTATGATGAATTTGATAGCAGGCTGCAAATTATTCTCTGAAAGCTATGAAACATTTGCTGCTGCATTTCCTGACCCGTACGAGCATTCTCGAGTATACTATTGTACCGAGTGTCAATCTGGCATGGGAAAATCGGCCCCAGATGAACATACTGTTTGCTCTACACCGGATTGTGGAAACAACAAGTTTGACTTTTTCATTTCTATTCCTGTTGAGAAGCAGTTGCGAGAAACAATGCTCAAGTATCAAAAAGAAATTGCTGATTACAAAGATACGGTTAAGCTGGAAGCTGTGAGTGATATAAGCCAAGGAAAAGTCGTCAAGAACATATGCAAAGAAGTAACTGGAAACATAATTTCACTATCAGTCAACACGGATGGAGCGGCACCTTATCCCTGGAGCATCAATAAACCATGCTATCCCATATTTGTCACGATTAACAACCTACCCCCACGAATTCGCTTCGATAAGAACAACCTATTGCCTACTGCTTACTGCTCACGTGTAAATGGAAGTATTGTCGAGGACTATACTTGGACTTTTGATAACTAGTTACACCTTTGAATGTTTTTGGTTGATGCCTATAGCATATTTAACAGGACATTTATATCTGTAATTGTAACCAGCTCGATTTTGTTTGCAAACCTGGTTAAAATGTTTATATTTAATTATCTTAAAGATAACTCGTCCAGCTCAAACCTTTGTAGGGGTAAGAGGTGGGACCATCATCATCATACTGCTATTTGGTTGAGCAAAGGTGAACCGAACATGCCATTATTCTTTAAAGAATTTTGTGAAGAGATGATTAAATTGAGCACTGGAATTTCCATAGGATCTGATGTTTATAAAATTGTAGTCATTCAGAACTGTCTGGATTCGGTGGCTAGACCAAAATTGCAAAACTCGACTCAATTTAATGGGAAATTCGGTTGTTCTTTCTGTCTGCACGAAGGAGAAATACTGCTTGGCAATCAAGTACGCTATCCGTTTAAAAAAAACTCAGAACAGAAATCATACAGAAACTCGACATCAAATGATTGAAGCTCATAACACAGGAAAACAAGTTAAAGGAATTAAAGGTCTTTCAGTGTTTTTATCGATTCCTCATTTCAACGTGGTGACAGGTAATTTGAAAATAATTGTATAAGTGGCCATGCACTTATTACGTAAGCATATTTTTGAAAATTTTCCACCCTCTCCCTCCTCTGAAAGATTTTCTTCAAATAGAAGTGATTTTTGTTTTATTTTATTTAGCGTTTATTTTATTTTATCTAGCCTAGGAAAACTCCAAACCCACCTCCCCCCTAAGTGCTTACGTAATTAATGGATGCCCCCTAAAATTTTATTCTGATCCGTAACAAATTCATTCTCGTTAAGGTTTCCCATTCGACTATATGCATGCAGTACTGCTTGGTGTGGTAAGGCAAATATGGGAGTTGTGCACAGCGTCGTCAAACCATACTAAACCGTACTACATTGGTCTGAGGCTTAAAGAAGTGGAACAAAGGATGTTGAGCATTAGGACACCAAGCTTATTTTCTCGATATCCTGGAAATATTGAAGATATGAATAAAAACAACGCTAATGATTGGGAGAATATGATGTTCCACTATTTTTACCCATGTATGGTTGATATTCTACCGAAAACATACTTGGATAACTTTATGCTTCTATCAACATGTATATTCAAGCTATTGGACATGCACCTGACGGACAAGACGATTGATAAAGTGGAAAAGCAGCTAATTAAATTTGTTCAGGAGTTCCAAAAACTGTTCGGTAAAGAAAACATGTTCTTCAATATTCATGTAGTGATTCATCTGGCTGAATGTGCTAGGAATTTTGGAGCACTGTGGAATTCATCGCTTTATCCATATGAAAACGGAAATGGAATGATTTTAAGATTCAGGACAGGAAATAACCATCCCGTGGTGCAAATAACAAATAAGTACGTATTTAACAGAATTTGCCACGACACGTCACTCATTGGAAATAGTCTGATTAAATCATGGCATTCTCGATTGTGGCACTCAAAAAAAAAACATATCGGTTGAAATTCGATAACAGACAACTATTTAAATATTCAAATGAACTGATAATCGACGATCATATTGCTGAAAGGGAATTCAGTTACCATGCCAGATTTACTTATGATAATGTTCAGTTCTGTACCAGAAAATCTTGCGAGAAATAAGGTTATGACGACTCTTTTGTCAATATCGGTGTTGACTTTTTTCGAATTGAGCATGTATTGACAGACAAAAATGATGAAATTTATATTATTGGAGTAAAATTAATCACAAAAAAGATTTATGATAATATGTATACGTACGATTACAGCGATCAGAGTCACCTTAAAAAGTGCACAAACTTATTCGACCATGTGTAAGTGCATCTGTCGTAGACGGCAACAAAACAAATAATTATATATCTGTATGTAAGCCAAATACACAAGTTAATTAGCACAGCATAATAAATTGGATTTTCTGTAATTAAAAAGGCTGAGCTTTAATAGTAAATAGTTAATAAACGATTTTTGAAATAATAAACCTCGATCTTGTAAAAAGAAAAAAAAAAATCGTCCAAAACATTGACTAACATTTGAGGAATTCTGCAAGTAGTATACAAAACACTCAAAAATTATGCCCAATCATACAATTATAACAGAATGAAAGAAATTTATTTAGCCCACTTAAGTTCATCGTAAATGATAATACATGGTGTTATCACTCAGTTATCAACAATTTGAAAAAATGATAACAAAATATCTAAAGGATAACAACGATAACTAAATTTGTTATCATTTTGATTTCATTCTGTTATCCTCCTTTGCTCGGGTAGCGTTTCTTCATTCCTTATCGCATTTAGCTTGAACAGGATTTTGTCATGGAATGGTTTTTCAAGTAAATCCATCACCAATGAGAAACATTGGCGTTTAGCCAGGCGTTTGCATATATTTTTTAATGGGGGCGACCCCGGGGTAGTGGTTAACATCCATACCTCTCACGCCAAAGTCACGAGTTCAAATCTCACCCCCGGACAAGTCACGAATGACCCAAGAATGTTAAAGTGACTATAATTAAAAAATATATATATATATATACATATATTTTTAAAATTTCGATTAACTGCTGCTTGATTCTTTGCAGGTTTATTTGTCTGCTCAAATGGTAGGCAATTTGATTGCTTCGCACTACCAACATGCTTTATGCATTGTAAATGGTGAATTTTGTTAATTCTTCTCCCAAATAATTGCAAAATAGATCAGTAAACAGGTGCACCTGTTCTTCAAGCCACAAAAGCATATCTTCAAATACAATTTGGTGACAGAATTATTCTAGTTATGTTTATTAGGTGTCCAACCATGATAATTGAGTTGCATTCATTGGGAATCTTATGACCGAATGAAAAAGGAAACGCGCGTAATAGCAGGAAACTTTGTGCGGCTGTCTGCCTTAGTTTATGAGCTCCAGGGGAAGATAACATGATGTTCAAGTCCACCAACTATATCATGCTGCTGCGGAGTGTCGGAGATTGTGAGTTAGCTGAAG